TTTTTAGAATACTGATTTTAAGTACTATTGATTTGATTGAAATATTAATGGTGTAAAATAATCGAAATTTTTTGTTAGCACAAACCCTCGCATCAACATTCTATTGTCAACTATCGATGAAAATATAGATAATTAAACCATTTAAATTTTAGACAAGTGGTGCAACATGATTTTGAGTTCACAAAGTCATCCCACCATTAATTCTTAAAAATTCTCATGTTAAATAGCACTTTTGACACCTCCAAATGTGATGCTCTTCAGTACTGATGGTGTATAACATCATCTTATTTGATATATAAATGTCATCAATTGATGATCAACTTACAAGTAGGAAGATGAATCAAATTTAAGATGCCTTATCCCTTGTATATCTTTATCGTTTAGCACAGTATTTTATAGTAATGCTCTATTCGTCTATAAAGATAGATTTGTTTTCATTCTCATATAGCTTTAGAATATATAACTAATATAGTAACAATAAATTTTATTTATATTTTTTCTAATATACCATTAAAATCTACAGTTAATAAAGATATAAATAACAGTAATTCACACTTGTTGATAACAAGATACGTTAAATATGAATACATTAGAAAATTAAGAAATCAACTATACTCATATCAATGAATATGATATGTAATATGGAACAAGCGAAAATATTAGGTAAGTCCTTCTTATGGGACAAAAACTTGTGTTTGACTTTTTTGGCTAATGGTACTACCAACTTAATTAATTCATAGTGTAAGTTAATTGTAATATCCTTAATTTTGATACAGGGACGGATTCAGGATCGAATTACAGATCGGATTAATACGTTAAAAAAAAATTACACGAGAATTTTTTTTTACATATTTTTTTTTCTACTAAAAAACATTCAATGAGCTGGGGGCTGGATTGGGCTGTCCGTCAGTATTTCGATATGATCACACAATTTGTAAAATTCGTTCGATGAAAAGTTAGGGGCGTAATGTACAATCAAACATTTTTAATACAAATTTCAATTTATAAGTAAGGTGCTTGTCAATTCATTATGAAAATAATTATAAATGTGTTTTTTTGACTTAAATTAAATTTATAAATTGTATTCAATTGGAGGTTTGATGTGAATTTATCATCATGGTTGGTAGATGTCAGGAGTGGGCATGGCTGATTCCGTATTAGACGGAATTATCAATTTGTGCCCGCAAAAAGCCAAAGCTACCCAACAATTATTCTGCACACAACGGGCCAATGTCAAAGAGACAAGTGTCTACTTGATGTACGAAAAATATTCTGTACACACAGCAGAACTTTATTGAGTGTGTTTGATGCATATTTTTAGAAGAGAATGCATTTTTTTGGTGTGATTGAAAAAAAAGAAAAAATTATTAATGTGATGAAAAATATTATTCTATTAAAAAATGTGTGATTGAAAATGAGTAGAAGAATGATAATGAAAATAAGAATGTGGCCCAAACAAGGGCTAATTGCACGATGCTTTTTCGCTCGAAATACTCGGCACTTGTTTGATGACCATTATAAAGAGAAATTATGAAAAATGATGTTTTAAATAGTCATTTTTTGAAAAAGGTATTGTTAAAAAGTAAGCAAAAAATTTTGAGTTTAAGTACATAATATTTTATCTTTTAAATGTGATTGAAAATGAGTATAAGAAATAAATAGTTTTAATTTATTTAAAGAGAGTCAAACATGGGCTAAGCCTCCTATTAAAAGTAATTTATAAATAAATAAAAATGAGTGATAAATGAGTGAATAATATTTCTGAATTTATAAGCTGGTCTAATGTGGTTTCTTCTGAAAATACTTACGAAATATGATGTTCTTCTAAAAATTAGTTTCAAACAAAAATTAAGGTAACTTGTTCAAAAAGCTCTTCTGCATGAAATAAAAACAAAAATATAAGTCATGTTAAACGGGCTCAAAAACAATTTTTATTTTGTTTTTCAAATAAGAACGTGAAAATTTGAAAGCTATAATTGATTGGTTCCCAATTTTTTCATTTATTTTTTATTGAGTTTTAATTTTCAATTGTCAATCCACTTCGAAAATTTTGATGGTAAAAACAATCTTTTACACTACAATCAGTTTTAGTTCTCGATTGTTATTTCCAACTATATCAAGAACTACAAGCACCAACAGGCCTAAGTTTGTCCTCAACAACCCACATTTATTCAACAGATCAACAATTGTTTTCCTTTTCCAAATTTCTGCAAGTGATAAAATGTAAACTCTACCGATAATTTTTATATTTGTGGGGTTAATACAACTTTTGGAGAATTGGAGGGTTTGGTCTGGTAAAAGTGGACTGAAACAAATCAAAATTGACTAATTTGTTCGATTTCATGGACAGTCCTATTTAAAAACCCCAAAAATCGTATTCAACTTGAAAAATGAAGTATAAAAAACTACTATCGTGCACCCACCTATGAAAAATGAAAGAGAGAGGCTCAGATGTCTGCTAAGCATTCACCAATGTGGGACAAGGACAAATTTGATACAGCAAAAAATTAAGATAAAACCGAGGAAACTTGTAAACATAAACCAATAATTGTTGATAGCACACTGTTGAAATAAATTTCAGCAACCTTCGTTGAATCTAGCTTCGTGTAATGTGTAAAATTAACAGCTCGATTAGTCTTGAATGGTAATTGACGTGAGGTAATAACCGTATAGGCGTCAATGCTTAAGTTACAAGGTTTTTTAATAGTGTTGATCTCAGTTTTCGGCTCAGTGACTTGGTCAACAAATCTTGGTTCCATTTACGTTAATGTGTAAGGCTCCTGTACCCTTGGACATATTGTTAGAAGCACGCAACCATCTTCCAATAATGGGAGAGGACGCCGCGAGTACTTCAACAGACAAATCGGTCAACTGGATGTGAGTACTGAGTGTGGGATGAGCAGAAGACGTGGGCCACAAGTACGTGCACTAGTAATTTGATTGTAGAGAAGAAACAATGAGCTAAACTACGAATAGAGAGCATACAATAGTATTACCTTCCAATAACATGAAGTGTAAGCTTTTATAGTAGAAAATGTCAAGTGGTTACTATTGGATGAAAGGCATACAACTTTATCTTTAGGTCGATGAGTTATCGCCTAAGTGTCACTTCTACAATCTTAGGTTAAGAAAGCATTTAATGATTCTGAAAAATGGTCAACCTAGAGCCTAGGTTTGACATCTAAAAAATAGAATGAAAAGTTGACTAAAAAATGTCTCCTGCAAAGAGATCACATTAATCAATGCTTCATAAGATTTTGTACGGAGTATTTCTTGAAAGAGTTGAAGCTAAAAGGACGAGGTAGGTTAATGACGTAGAGTGCGGGCTTGAGGATGCTCTTTAGATGGTTACCATGTGGCCAGTGATTAAAGCCTTGAAAGATGAGGTATAACAAGAATTCCTTAAGTCAAGGCCTGGACATTCATTTAAGGTGTGGACTTTTGGTAGGAAAGTGATATATAATGCATAATAAGGGAGGGCTTACGAACTGTCTTTGATGTTAAACTTAGCTGAGGTGATGATATTGTCGTGGTTGGAGAAGGTGATGACAATCTAGCATGTAGTTTTCTGTGTTTGTCGAGATATTGGAATATGTTGTAATGGTCATCATTCTAAGGTGCACTGGACAAAGTGAATAGTTATTTAAATGTGAAGACGTACAATAAGTTAATAGTATCTCGTTGTGACGAGGCACAATGAAGAAGTCCCCCAAATAAAGTCATGGATATTCATATAATGCATATGCTTGGATTACTGTTGAGGTTTGTGTGTGAGGCAATGAGTTGAAGTGAGAATCTTGAAGTTGGTAGAGGCAAGTATGGGCGAATTCCCATTTTGGGGATAAGGCCTTGCATGGCAGAGTCGTTGATGCAGTTGTTAAGTCCCATTTTGAGGATGAGGCCCCTACACTTAGAGAAATCATAGTTGTAAATCTGGAGTCGTATGTTTCATGTGTGAAGCCATTGAAGGTATACGAACAAATTGTTCAGAGGCAAAGTTCCTTGTACTAGGGAAGAGACCTCTGAGTTCTAAGTTGAAGATGTGCTGCAGCCTCTAGAGATAGATGCAACAATGATGCAGAAGTAGAGTCCCATGTTTCAGGGATGAGACATTTGGAGTTAGGTGATGTTGACCTCGAAAAATGGCTC